ATGTTCTATTTAAAATAATATCTAATTTTGAGTTATTAAAATATTAATCTTATACATTGAAAAATAACATATTTGTCCACTTGAGACCACAACATTTTTTTCATACTATATATTATATATAAATAAATATGATACTTAGAAAAAATATTTAAAAATATAAGTTTGATATACTTTTATAGTAATTATATGTTAAATGTGTTTTTTCTCCAAAGTTGGATATATTTCTATGGATTTTCATTAAAAAAACTTACTATTTAATACGGAAATTTAACCTTTTGAAATATATATATATCATGGAGATACTTTGGCAAAATATGCCTCCACATAATTTTATATTCTTCTAACCAAATATTGTATAGTTACATTTAAACAAATCAAACAAGGTAATACAATATTTCAATAATCTTATTTTTAAATATAATCTTATACCTCGTGAACCAAACAATCCATAAATTTTAAAGAATCCATGCCAATCAATTAACGAAATTTTCGACTACATCAATGATTTAGACAAAAATATAAACTTTTATTATAATTAAATTTTATTAAATTAAAATAAAAAATAAATAAAATTTAAAATGTAAATATAATTCATGTACAAAAATTATAATATATTCGACATTAACAATTCAAAACTATTGCTTTGTTTTTTCGCTGGATGGATATGAATTTCGTATCAGTTGCAATACCTTTTAGGTCTGCAGTTCACAACCTCGTAACACTATTTTGTACTATATATAACAAGCTCTTTAGTTTCTTAACATAATTCTATTTAGATCGTACCACCACATTCACGATTGAGATATAAATGAATTGAATTTGAATGAATAAAATTATGTTTATGTTTATTTATTTTTTAAAATGTTCTTATTTAATTTATATTTATGTTTGTTTATTTTTTAAAATATTCTTTTTTAATTTATATTTATTTATTTATTTTTAAGGTGTTTGTATTTATTCGTTTAGTGTTCGCAAAAATGTTCATTTAACATGTTCGTATGTTCGCTTAATTTTTGTAAGTCAAAGAGAAATGGTAAATTATGTCACTAATCTTAAAAATTCCTTAAGCTTCACAACTTGAACTCCATAGTTCACCTTATTTTCAATTTAGTCCATATTTTCACCGATATTTATGATATAAAAAATGACAAGGAGAATCGAGTAATTGAACTTAAATGATCTTATAAACAAGTCGATAATGAATCGATAAATAAGTTTATAGACGAGTTTATTCGTGAACATAAATGAATTAAACATATTTATTTTTATTCGTTCATTTATTAAATAAATATAAAAATTATATTGATACTCATTTGTTTAACTTTAATAAATAAATATAAACGAACATTATACGAACGAATAATACGTCGAATACTTTATTCATTTAGACCCTTAGACACAGAGCTATTCATCGGTTTCCGACAAGATCCACAACACTCTTATTTAACCTTTGGGTTAAGTTAATTAGCCTTGGATAAAATAAAACCCTCAGAGCAAGTCAACTTTTTTTTTTTAATTGGCAAAACCTCCACCACTAGTTCACCTGCTTTCCTTTAGAAACATGCATTTTGAATATATAGATTTATGGTCAATCTTGGCGTTCTTAATTAATATTAATCAAATCCCATTAAGATAGCGCAAATCCATTTAAACCACACGCCGTTACGTTAGATTTGACATCAATGTCTTTATTATACAAGATTTGAAAGCTCCCCGCCGTTAATATATATACATGCAAGTGGGTATAAAATATGCGTATAAATATAGTCATTTCAAGAACATTTAAAGGAATATGTTATGTTTTTAAATATGCTAGTTATGTTACATAATCACAATATAAATGGTTACTTCTCTAAAAAAAATTACACAGTGTCGTTTACCTTTTTTTAATCTTTGTTTAATAGGTGATAACACCAATATGAGTAATGGTCGACCATTGTTGATATTTCTTATTCTTTTTATTTATTTTCTTATGTTTTATATTTTTTATAATTTTAATAATTTTATATTTATGACATATTTTTTCTATCTCTTGATATGTTTTTGATCTTTTATATTGTTTAGTTATTCTTTTTGTTTATCTTTTTCTTAGGGTTATATTTAACGTTGCCTCAACTGATAAGTGACATTTATTAACATGTGAAAAATATGTTTCTAATAATCATAATTAAACTTATTATTCTAATGATCATAATTAATTATGTGTCTTAAATGGTGAATAATTATCTTTTAATATATTTATCAACCATAGATTATTAATTTAATTAAACTCTTGAATATATTTATATATTACATTATAAAAATATTTATTAATTTATTGATCATAATTAATCATGTAATTTAGTTGATGAAAAATTATTTTGCCAGTTGGTATATTATAATATCAATTGTTAATTAAAAGTTTACAACTTACAAGTCAGGTAAATATCAAGTTCGATATATATATATATATATATATATATATATATATATATATATATATATATATATATATTATATATATATATTAAGTTAAATTATTAATCAATTATTGCTTCGTAATAATTATTTAAATTTAGGGTTAACTGCATGATTGATCACTTATATTTGTATTTTGTCAACTTTTCTTCACTGATTTCAAAAAATGTAATAACTTTTGTTTTTATTTAATTAAGATATAGTCACCACAAGTTAATTGTTGATTAATATTTTGGTATAATCACACATTTGATCCTGTTATTTACATATTCTCTCAATTTAATCATATTTTTAATAAATTAAAATAAATTTAATATATTTATTTTTCTCCAAGCAGAGGATGACACATGTCATCCTCGGGTTGAAAGAAAACAAAGTAAAGCAAAATGAGAAAAAGGGATTTGAACTTAGGTCACTTAAGAAATCAAAATTGTATCTAACCATTAAGCAAAGAAAAATGTTTAGTCTAATATACACAACATAATGTATATATATATATATTTATCTTATTGTATGAATATTTAACTTAAATTCATAATATTTTATATATATTAATTTTAAAAAATATTTTTTTTGGATAATCTGTATTTATTACCCAAGAGAAGCAGAAGACTGCTACATATGAACCAGTACTTTACAAAGAAACAAACTGTTTTAAAAAACAGAAGCCCCTAGCAACAGATAACCAAAAACCAGTACAAGGTGATCAACAGAGGGGGAAGCGCTTCAAGATATCACGCAATGTTCCAGCTAGCGCAGAGAGTAGCATTCCTCGGATCTGCTACGTTGATAGAGCAACCACGCAACCTAATTCGTACGACAACTTTTACATCCTCAAGGATAGTAGACCACGATCTAGGGACTCCCCCAAACAACCTGTCATTTCTCTCCTTCCATATCCAGTACACATGGCTCGACAAAGCAAGTTTAAGCACTCGCGTGATGAGGGATTTGCCTTTAAAACAGTGAGTGGCAAGCAGCTCGCCATCCCAGTGAGAAGCTCGATTAACACCACAGAGCTGCAGAATGGCCTTCCAGAGATTCCCCGCGTAGTCGCACTCAAAGAATAAGTGGTTCTGTGTCTCAGACTCCAAGTTACATAACAAGCACTTATCATTATCTATGGCAAGTCCCATTCGCAACAGCCTAATCCTGGTAGGAAGTCTATCCAGGATTGCCATCCAAAGAATAATACAGTACTTAGGGATACGTCCAGCAAACCAAACTAGATGATGCCACACAACCTTAGGTGCCTCAGGGCGAAGGCCTCCAAATCTGCCTTGTGCTAAGTCTTTGCCCCGATTAACAAATAAATGATGAGCAGAGGTCTCAACTTCAGCAATCTCCTGAAGTACCAGCTAGCATTAGAAGGTAAGTTCAACTGCCAAAAGTCTGAGCTTTTAATAATATAGGAACGAAATCCAAGCTACCCATAGGGACCCTCCTCTGCCAACAAGTTTCCTGATAAGCTTAACGAAACAAGCTTTGTTCCAGCCAAGGATATCAAGACCCCAAGACCCCCTTCAGACTTTAGAAGGCATATCTGTTTCCAACTCACCGAGCTCCCTTCGCAGGCAGATCAGCTCCCTTCCAAAAGAAGCGAGAGCACAACTGTTCCACCCTCTGATCACTCAGCAGGACCATAATCTGCCTACACCAATAGTTAGTTAAACTAAAAAGACATCACGATAAGTTGGAGCCTACCGCAAAGCTCAAATGCTGTTAGCCCAAAGGTTTAATCGTGCCTTTTTCAAGAAGAGGCTGACAATCAGCTATAGTAAGCTTCTTTATAACCAGCGGGATACCCAAGTATCGTACAGGGAGCTTCCCTACTTTAAACCCCGTGTTCACACTTAGATCTCTACATTGATCAGCTGACATCCCAACAACAAACATCTCGCATTTATTGATATTTAATTTGATCCCAGAGAAAGAATAGAAGACATCCAAGACAGTTTGCACACCAATGATAGAATCAATGGAGGCTTTGCAGAAAATGAGGAGATCGTCGGCAAAGCAAGATGAGTCAAGCCTATTATTTTGCATTTGAACATCTCGCATTTATTGATATTTAATTTGATCCCAGAGAAAGAATAGAAGACATCCAAGACAGTTTGCACACCAATGATAGAATCAATGGAGGCTTTGCAGAAAATGAGGAGATCGTCGGCAAAGCAAAGATGAGTCAAGCCTATTATTTTGCATTTGGGGTGAAACTTAAAAATGCCTCTAAGAGCTGCCACATTCAACAAATTCGATAAAACGTTCATAGTGAGAACAAAGAGGTAAGGCGAAAGAGGGTCGCCTTGTCTAACACCACGGCCACCTCTGAAATAGCCAACGAGACTGCCATTGAACATGATCGAGTAGCTCGGTTTAGTGAAGCATGCCCCAATCCAACCAATAAATTTCTCAGGAAAGCCCAATGCCTTCAGAGTAACCAAAATGAAGTTCTAATCAAGGGAGTCGAAAGCCTTCTGGAGGTCTATCTTCAACGTACATCTAGGGGAAATATTTTTCCTATTATAACCCCTGACAATCTCTTAGGCAAGGAGGGTGTTGTCAACAATGCTTCTCCCTTTAACGAAAGCAGTTTGGTTTTTGGTTACCATGTCGGGGAACATAGCAGACAAACGCTTAACCAAGATCCTGGTGATGGTCTTATAAATCACAGTGCAACAAGAAATAGGCCTGAAATCTTTGACTAAGCTAGGATTTGGCACTTTGGGAACAAGGACAACAGCTGTGGAGTTAAAAACAGGAAGAATGAAAGAGTTTTCGAAGCAATACCTAACAGCAGTTGTAAAATCAACTCCAATAATGGGCCAAGCAACCTTATAAAAAAAAGGATTATAACCGTCAGGTCCAGGGGACTTGTCGTTTCCCTGTCCCCATAAGGCTTCCCGAATCTCCACGTTAGAGATATCACGACATAAAACAGTGTCAGCACCCAGGGGAAGGGAGTAATTGAGGAGATCTTTAATTGTAGCTGTGCTACAGCCCTTTACATTTGCATCGGTCGTACCCAACTGATACTGAAAGAATTTGATCACCTCATTTGCCATATCATCGAAAGTGTCGAGCCTAGTACCAGATTGATAAAAAAGAACCCTTATCGTACTACTTTTCCTTTTGCTAGCCACCACCGAATGAAAGAAGCGAGTACCTTGATCACCCTCATTTATCCAACTGACTTTAGCCTTTTGCTTATAAAAAAGCATCTCAGCTTCTTCAAGGGAATGAAGCTCCCTTTCAGCTTGTATTTCATCGTTGACAATACTGCCAGCAGAAAGATTTGCAAGTTGAATACGCATCAGCTCCTCTCTTTTTAGTTTCACCTGATTGGAGATGTCATTGAAGTGGCTTTTGTTGAGATATCTGAGAGGACATTTTAACCGTTTAAGCTTTTGAAAAAGTACTTGGGCAGGATTACCCTCCACTGGAACCTGCCAAAAATCCCTAACGATGGCTAAAAAGTGCGGGTGCAGAGCCCAAAAATTAAAGAACCGAAACGGTTTAGGCCTAGTCACAGGGGCTGCTTTCCGGAGCCACACTACAGCAGGGCAGTGGTCAGAATCCCCCGGGGCGAGGAACTCCACATCGGATTTAGGAAAATCATCAATCCAAGCAGAGTTCACCAGGACTCGGTCCAGCTTGCAAGCTAAATACGAATCCTGCTGCTTATTTGACCATGTAAGTAAGGGACCAGTGAACGGGTGGTCAAAAACCCCCAGGTTTTCCACACAGCTCCGAAAGTCCAAGATATCAGCTAGAGTAGAAGCATTGATGCTACCCGAGCTCTCCTCAGGGTTCAAAATGATATTAAAATCGCCCCCAATCAGCCATGGAAGGTTGACAATATCCAAGGAGATTAATTGGTTCCATAGGTGTCTCCGAGCATTACCATCATTCAATCCATACACTGCAGTGACACAAAAGCTCTGTCCCTCAAAAAGAGCCCTTAATCGAAACACTCTGATCATACGTAGAGATGACAGAACAAGCCAGGTATTTATGCAAAAGAACCCAAATACGACCATTGACTGCGTGATTGTAGTTGCAATAGGAGTCCCAGTCACTAAAACTCCGGTTTAGAATGTCAGCAGAGTTGATTTCCTTAACATGAGTTTCCAGCAGACAGAGGATGCTTATATGACAGCTAGTAGCCCAATTAATGATTTTCCTCTGTTTATGAGGATTATTAAATCCTCAGATATTCCAAAAACTAACTAACATGAAATAATGGGAGAGGAAGAGGTACCACCCCCTGTCCTCCATTTTCTTCACTTTATCAAGCTGTTCTTTTTTCTTCAACTTTAAGTCCTGAACAAGTTTAGACACTCCTAAAGAAGCTGCTCTCTGCTTCTTACCATCATCAGCAGGCAGCAAATTTTCAGGATCAATTGAGGTAAGAACCTCAAACTTGTTTTTTTGAAGCTCCTAAAGCAGCTTTAGGTTCTTTCGCTAGTCTACCCCGACCACGTTTAATAGGGGGATTACTTCCTGAATTCCCCACATGAGCATTTAAACCCGCCATATTATCTCTACTAGAATCAGCATGGACCTTCCTTGCACACATCACTTCCACTAGTGTACCATTATTAGGAATAGACTGTTCAGAAAAATTCGAAGACTCAGTACATAACCCAGAGCATTTCACCACAATCTCAGCTGTGCTTGTATTAACAATTTTCTCCTGAGCTGGTATTGTTTCAACACCATCACTCATCACCTCCAATCCAGCTAGACTGTTGTCAACAACACCCTGCTTAATTTCCTGAAGAGGAGCCTTTGCCTTCCATACTTGTTCCTTCTTCTTCCCCAAAGGACAGAATTTCATTGAATGCCCAAATTTCATACATTCAACACACGAGGCAGGAAGCCAAGGTACAAAAACCTTAATTCTCACTACAGACTCATCATAAAGAAGCACATCAACAAAATCTGGAATTTTTGAGCCAACAGAAATTTCAACACAGACCCTAGCATACTCAAGTCTCGCTCTAGAAGCAGTAATGGAGTCTATGTGTAAGGGCTTACCGATAACACTAGCAATGTAACTGAGTCCCTTCTTCGAAAATAATTCCAAAGGAACATTAAAGAGTTGAATCCAAATTGGCATACGATCCAAATCAAAGTGCAACTCCTTCAAATTCGGTTCCCATTTCCTGAGGAAGAGGGGCTTATGCTGTACATGCCAGGAACCATTTTCTAAAACCCAGTCCCTGGCCAAGGAATTATCGAAATAGAAAACAAAAAGGTTGGATCCGGCGAGGCTCACCTTCATCGGAGCGGCTTTGCCCCACATCAGATCAACTGTTTTCTGCAACAAGCCAAAGTTAGGGGTTGAGCCAATGAACTGCCCAACCAGAGCATGCCTCCATTCCAAAATACCCTCCTCGAACACATCTCTTGGACCAAATAATTAAAATAAAAATAATTTTTAAAATTAAATTAATAATAGAATATATTTAATAAGTCAATATAAAATATTTTTAAATTTAAAATATATATATATATATAATATTATAAATTTAATTTAAATATATGCACTAAGAACAAAACTTATTTACAATATTTTCTATTTTAAACCAATGATTGATCTTAATTCAATTGCTGGTTACATGTTTGGCTCCCAAGAGACCTGGGTTCTAGTCCTTTAGCCTTAATTTACTTTTCTTTGTTTTTCTAAACAAGACGATGACACGTGCCACCTTCTGATTGGTGGAAAATCAATATATTAAATTAAAATAAGCCTAAACCCTCCAGCTGAATGGTAACATATGATACAACACGTGGCATCATTCTATTAGATGATTATATTTATTTAATTTATTAAAAGTAGAACTAGATTGAGAGAATATGTAAATAACATGGACCAAATGTGTGATTATATCATATCTTAATTAAATAAAAATGAAAGTGATCACATCTTAATTAAATTAAAATGAAAATAAACATATATTATGCTTTTTGAAATCAATGAGGAAAATGGAAAAACTGAAACATAAGTGATTAATCATGTAGTTAACCCTTAAACTTATTGATTTTTAAAATTATTTTATATAATCTATTTTCTAATATAATAAAATTAATAATAAATTAATCATTTAATAAAAAATGGTTATAATTAAATTTATTAATCTAATAATCATAATTAATATAGAAAGTAAATTTATTAATCTAACTATTATAATTAATTTTTTTGAATTAATCAATGGTATCTGTTCTATTGACCGACTAATCCAGATCAGGTACTGTAGAGGCGAGGGCGACTCTCCCAACCTAGTTTGCTCCATTCGCAAACGTTAGAATTCGAACCCTTGACCTTGCTTAAGGGACCAAGTGTCTCATCCCACTAGACCAACTGGTTGTTGGTTATAATTAAATTTATTAATCTAATAATTATAATTAATAATTTATTTTAAATTATTAAGAATTTGTAATGCCTCAAATACTGATTTAGGGACTATATTAAAATGATTCAAAAATAGGAGGATTTATTTAATTAAATGATAAAAGATGAGAATGAATAGGATTATTGGTTTAGACTAAATTGTGACAATGGATTATTAAGAGGGCATTTTAGTCTTTTAAATGAAAGAGAAATTAAAGTGTATTTTAAATTGGTATTAAAGATAAGGGGAAAAGGGAATTAGGTTGCTAAAAAAGTTCTCTTTCTTCTTCTTCCTCTTTCCCCGTAGAAAAGCTTCTCCATAGCTCAAAGGTAAGTTTTCAATTTAATGGTTTATTCCTTCAATTTTTGTTGGTTATTGAATCATTGTATATGATGGAAGCTTAAGGAAGGCTTATATGGGATTAAAACAATGAGTTAAGGGAAATAAAGGAGATTTTAGAAAATGGGTTTTATAATGATATGTTAATATATGAGGGTTTATTAATGTTTATTGGTAGAATTGACTTGTTAATAAGGTGAACGAAAGATTATAAGCATTGGATGAGTGTAAAAAAAAGCTAGAAATTGTGGTGTGATTCTTAAAATCAAATGCTGTTGAAGGATACTAGATGTTTTAAGTATCTAAAAGAAGGAAAATTAGTATGGTTAAGTAAAAAAGAGTTATATAGTATTGTTAGGGGTAAATGTGAGGGAAATTGGCCAAATTTGGGTATGTCTCGGGTTTAGAACTGGAAAATATGGGCATGGGTATCAATACTGATAGAACAGTACCAATACTATAGGCAAAAATTGGGTTGAATTAGATGAGAAGTATCAATATTGATTCAATCAGTATCGGTACCGACGATGTGGTATCGATACCATGGTAAGGGTATCGATAGTAGATAACATCGAACCTAATTTTAGTATCGATACCAGAAGGGGGTATCAGTACCATAGTATAGTAGTATCGATACCATGGTAAGGGTATCGATACCAGGCCACATCGAATCTAATTTTGGTATCGATACCGGAAAGGGTATCGATACCATAGTAGGGTAGTATCGATATTGAAGAACTAAAAATTTTAAGTTATGCTTCTATTGTTGTAGAAAGATTAATAATAAGTACTTTTGATTAATGTTTAAGGTATAATTGTTAGGAAATACACTAACAATTGACATTATACATGTATTTAATGAATCTGGGATAGATCGAAATCAAGCACCCGAGTTGACTAAGGCAAAAGGCAAGGGCCAAGTTTCGGAGTAATCATCTTCCTATTTTTGGATATCTAAGCAAGGCGAGCCAGGTGAGTGTAATTAATTATGTTCGTATATGCTATAATAGTCATAGTGTTATTAATTATTGATGTATGTATGGTGATTACCAAATGGCACTAAGTGTGCTAAAATGTTAAGAAATTCATACTAAGTGTATGAATTTCCGTATAGGGCACTTCATATGATAAAAATGTTAAGAAATTCATACTAAGTGTATGAATTTCCGTATAGGGCACTTCGTGTGCTAAAATGTTAAGAAATTCATAATAAGTGTATGAATTTCCGTATAGGGCACTCCGTGTGCTAAAAATGATAAGAAATTCATACTAAGTGTATGAATTTCTGTATAAGACACTTCGTGTGCTAAAATGTTAAGAAATTCATACTAAGTGTATGAATATATAGGGCACTTTGTGTAGTAAAATGTTAAGAAATTCATAATAAGTGTATGAATTTCCGTATAGGGCACTTCGTGTGCTAAAATATTAAGAAATTCATACTAAGTGTATGAATTTCTATATTGGGCACCTTGTGTGATAAAATGATAAGAAATTCATACTAAGTGTATGAATTTCCATATGAGAAATAAATGTTTATAAACCTAAGAAATTCTTAATAAATAAGTGGATTTTCTTATATTGGTAATGGGTATGCAAACCACACAAATTTTAGCGATGGTTGATAAATGATGATATTAGCACTAACGATGCAAATTGTAGAATACTTATTAAAATGAATGATCCCTTGATATGTAAAGTGTAATAAAATAGCTTGTGTTTAGAACTTTACTTGTGATTAATTATGCCTCACTACGTAATACTTAACGTGTTCTTATTTCACGCATAGGTGGAATACTAGCTGAGTAAGGAGATCATCAGACATCAAGTCAGAGTCGCCTCATCAGTAACAGTATGACATACTTGTCTGCTTTTGATAAATTTTGGTTGACGTGTAATAGGTTTAGTAAAAATGCTTTTGAATTAAACTAATATATAATGGTGAAATGTGAAACATCTTTTTTTATTGTATATATAAGTTTAATGCATGTTTTCATTATAAGTAAATTATAATGGTTTATAAAATAAAACAAAAAAGTACGAATTTTCTAATGGGAAACTGGTTTAAAAGTGATATGACATATCTCATATACATAACGGTATACGGGAGATGTGTGTTATATTTATTGGTATCAGAGTTATAGGTTTAGCTGATTCTCGGTCGAATCAAGTGTAATTTTTAATGTAAAAAGTGTTTACATGTCACTAAGATGTCAAGGTTACTGATAGGGTATAGAATGAATATGAAAGATGTCTCTCCTTACTAGCGTAATTACTATTCTATGAATGTTATGATAGATGTC